GCTGATATATCCATATTTGCCAAATGGGAAAAACTAAGGGCCAGAGCATCCCAATGGCCCAGACGAGGTGCCTGAGTATAGAATGCAGATTCCCTGGGTCTTCCTATGCAGGGTCCTCTAAACCCACTAAACATTCTGAACCACTTTCCTGGTTCCTTCAAATGACAAAACATCAAATATGGCGTTAAACAGCTGATAACAAACCAAAGGGACTCACCTCACTCTGCATCCTCTGGGCCTCCTTTGAAGCTTGATATGACGGTGTCTCAACAAATTCAAGCATCGACTTCCCCTTATTTTTCTCATATTCTTCTTTGTACTTAACCTTTATTAAAAATAATATAAAAAGCATATAAAGCTCACAAGCTCTTATATAAATAAAGCAACATAAAGGAAATATGTTCTAAATTAATCATCCTATTTTCTAAAATCACTTGGAGGTTGCTCACTGGATTCTGGGTGGTTAATGACATACAACAAAAGTAAACAGGATATAGGTTATATACACAATTTTTAAGGAATAAAAATTACTGAGAACTACTAAATGATGTAGTTCTAGAACTTGCATAAACTATTTAAATAGCGGAGATATATAAACATATACATATATATGGGATTATATATGTATTCATGTGAGATATATATATATATATATATATACATATACATATATATATATATGGGGGGTGGGGGGAGAGAGAGAGAGAGAGAGAGAGAGAGAGAGAGAGAGCCGCCCCCCCCATGATAGCTTGGAATGTCTATCAGTAAATCATGAATGACAGGGAAAACACAGGTGTGATTCTCTATCTTTCTGTCAAAGGGAGGACAATGTTCTCTGAGATTGCTGAATTTTTCCATCGACATTGAGTAAAACACACACAGAAGTTTTATGTGATTTCTTTCAGTTTCACTACGCATAATTTAATAATATCACACCATGAATTATTTATTTCAATTACAACCAATCCTTATCTTATTTCAGTTCATAAAATGATCGATATTTTCCATATACTAATAACAAAAACTAAAATTATATGTAAGCTGTCACAGTGGTCAGCTTTTTTAGCAATATACCTTTTTAAATTAAATTCATAGAAAAGTTTTGATCATGATTCATGTCATTCAGAAATGTATTTTTATTAAAGTGTTTATGTTTAATAATTATGAAATTGTTTCTTAAATCATACATAATAATGATTTTAATGATAATTAAATCCAAAAGAAAATTTTCAATACTTAAAATTTTATGGTGGCAGAAAATATAGCAAATTTTAAAATCCTTATTTATAGGCATATTTTTGTTTCAGAGCATGATAGAATGACCAATGAAAATGTGTGAAGTATTAAAAACATAGTGTATTAAGATAAAATTTTGTGGGGAAAATGAAATAAAAATAAGAATGCAAAAAGAAAAAAAATGTACATTTCCAAACCTCAAAGAAGAACTGGTTTGTGTGCTTTTTAAATAAATGAGGGTGGGTATCAAATCATTATGCAATTTATGTTCCACAGGATACATTTAAGAGTGACATAAAATTTAATTTAATAGATGCTGAAATGACATCTTTTGCAACTACTGAAACTCAGAACAAAAAATATATAGATAGCAACTTTAAAATGTGCAAGGAAGAAGATATATGTTTTTTTAATTTCTTTCAAGGAGTAAATAGAAGTTCATAGAAACATTTATGTAGCATACACTGATAAGACAGCTTTCCTGTTTTAATAACGTTTATAATTGAACTGAGAATTTAATAAACTTTCTGCCTGGAAAATCAATTTTGCAGCTCAAAATGTACACTATAAAAGTACACAAATCAGTACACTATAAAAATTGAAATCACCATGAGATTTGATTCATTCATAAGTTTTAAATTGTGTGAAGTTCCTGTTGTTATAAAATGCCTTCACATTGAAACATGGTTCAAACTTCCCTACTTCAATAAACATGGAGAGAATCAAGTTTGAGATTTGGGGAAGCAACAGTCCCTTCCTCAGGTGCACATGCTTTCGGGCAGCTGCACATCCTCAGTCAGGTGCACAGCAGGAAGTGGTTAGAGGGTCCAGGCATCCAGGGCGCCTACCTGACTCTGGAGCATGGAAGTGCCTTTGTGATGCTGGTGTTCCACAGCGTCCGCATCAAAATGATACAGTCCTTTGTTTTCTTCAAAAAGCTTTCTATACTCGTGCTAAAACAGAGAACATGGAAATAAATTCAGAATAAAAGAAGCTGACTAGAACAACGAGTCCTCATGAATGCGAACCGAAAAACCACATGCCAAGAGAGCTGCAAAGCGGCTGCAGTCCCCATCCGCCGTCAGGGGACCGTGTGGGCTTCTGACACTGAGATAAGCTGACAGTGTAAGATGGACCGGCTCTAGGTGGTCAGTGTAAACAGCGTATGAAACAGTCCAGAGAAGCTACGACAGTTAGCTGTAAACACAAGAGTCAAGACACTGGGGAGTGGCAACGGCAAAGCCAGTGACAGGACCAGGGCGAACGGGTAAGGTGGGCAAACCAGGGGCGATCTGTGCTGCCCTTATCCAGGAGCACAAGTGTGTGTAATAGTGTCTACAAGAGAAGGAAAGAAAAGAAGAAAGAACAGAGGACAGGAAAGCTAGAGGCAGAGTGAAAGAAAGCTAGATACCAGGGCTCACTCACTCAGCCTTGAGGAAGACTGGTGGTCATCAGGAAAACGAGAATGACAAATAATTCAACTAATTTTCCTAAAAGAAGGCAGGGGGTGCCTAGAAGAGAAAGTGAGGAATCTGGGTACAGATGGTTGAATTATTAGAAAATTATTAGAATAAGCCTACTATGTAGACATACAGGCAAAAAGGTGAATTTGAAAGAGACCAGAATAGATAAGGATGCCAAATTTGGCAACTGTAGCACTCTAAGCATCACAGGCAGCAATAAGATGAAAATTACTTCATAATTCCTATCATTGGAGATTGGACACTTACTTTGCCCTATTTGGGAAAGATTTTTAGAGGTAAAGGGTAACTCTCAACGACTCAAGGCTGCAGAGTCTTAAGCTAAAGCTAGTTGCGCGTCAGGCAACAAGGATTTCAGTGAAAACGGCAACTCTGTGCAGAGTAGGAGAGGTAAGCGGCATTTGAAAGGGCGCGGGAAAGACCTGCTCTAACAAAATTGGCATTGGGTCTTAGCAGGTGCTCCAGCGACCTTCCTGTTTCAGGGAGTGGAACAGGAAGGTGCAGTGCCAGGGTGGGCGGGACCGAAGGATGCACGATAGAACTGCTGTTCCACAGGGTCCCAGAGGCGCTTTCAGGCGATGAGGGCGCTAAGTAAGGTATGTGTCCCCCAAAACTCGAATGAGAATAAAGTGAGAAAGAGAAAGCCCCAGGACGCTCCTGAAAATGTTCACAGAGCACATCTTGACTGAAGAGAACAAGTTCTGAAGCTTGGCTCCTCTGCTAATTAAAATAAAATAAATAAGAAATAATCTCAATATACTTAGAGACTTTATAATTCGATGAGAAGTTATTTTATAACATATGTTCATAAAATAATCATGAATTGAATGTAACAAGCTCAAACATATTCCATACTGAGTTAAAATCCAGAACTAATAAAGCCTAGGGTATTATGTATGGAATAATGGATATATACTGAGGAAAAGTCAATAAACGTTGTCCCCAAGGCAATGATCTATTTTAGTTACAGAGAATATCAGAAACTCCTATTTAAAAATAAAATAAAATAAACCTATTTGAAGATCTGCAAAACAGTTTTTAATGCTTGCTGTTCCTTATATAAGTCTCTATTGCCTCCTAGTGGGCGTTACTGACAATAACATAATACACACATTTTTTAATTTATGCAAAGTTATAAAAGAAACTGAAAGCTACTAGAGTTCTATTTTCCAGGAGAAAATGTTCCCTCAAAATTTAATTGTATGGCTGCACAAACTCATATGCATTAATTTCACTAGTGTTAAAATAAAAAACATTATGATTTATACCACAGACACTTAGAGGCCTTTAAAAACAGCCATCTATAAAAAACCGTCAAGTAATTCAGGCAGAATGTCTTTTTATTAAGTATGCTCTTAAATTAAATTAAGTTGCCTTTATAAATCAACAAAATTCCAATTCTCTTTACGTTAAAATTTAAAAGAATGCAATTCTAATGCACAATCAATTTGAGCCAATATATTATTGTACTTTAATAAATAGGAACTTCAGAATAACACATTTATTGAGTCTTAAACTTTCTCTCCCATGAAGGAATCATTAAATCACAATTTTTCTATGGGGCAAAAAGTCTAATCTAAGCAGAAGGACCACCTGAGCAAAGATTTAAATTTTCTAAATGGTACATAAAATAAACATAATATATGTAACCTTGCTGGGTTTTCTCTGTTGAAGAGATGCTAGAAACAATTTATATTAAACAATTATTTTTTTTACCACTGTTATAAAAAAAATAAAAAGTCAATATTGTTGAAAAGAAATATTGCCTATGAGTGTCATGCATTCTTCCAGCTACCAAATTTTAAACCACCACCATGATATTTTTACTGGCTTATTGACACATGAATCCTCATGTCCTAAAGAAATTTAACCCAAGTGTGGATTAAAGTCAAGAGCAAGATGCCGGCACAAGGATCAAAACAGATGCCAAAGACTGAACCTGAAGAAAGCAGCTCAGAGAATGGACACACACCAATTTTAGAAGCATACCTATAAGTCATGGAGGAAAACGTGAAACTGAAACATGAGTGCTGGAACAGCGAGCGGGACAGCCTGAATCAAGTGTCCTGGAACTGAGTCTAATTCTGGGCCTGACAGTTCTCTAACTTTCACCCACTGCTTAACAGACTGGATGGAATAAGGGGCTGCTTTTCCTCCAAGGGCCAGTGATACAAATAGATAAACAAATAATTTGATTAATTAAAAAATATGTGAGTATGAATTATTTATATGCATAATGCATGCGAGAAGGATGACAGTGGTCGTGGTGGTGGAGAAAGGAAGATGATAACATAATGAACAGGAGTTTCAATACCTCAAAGCCAAGGATAGATGTTTTCAAAACTGAACTGAAACTGCATCTCATTATTTAATTGGGAACCAGGTTTTGACTACAAGTGTTTAAATCCACGACTGTGGGCCCATCTCCTAAAGACAACTCTTTACACTTCTCCACATTCCTTGCCCAACACACTTTTCCATCTGATCTGTACCTGGACCAAAGCAGATATTCAATACATTCAGATAGTTTTGAGTGAGTGAGTAATTAACATAGGCATAGAAATAACTTGAGGTCAAATTAGAGTTCGTCATCACATGGGGTTTTCTGGGACGTAGGAAATGGAGGCACAGGTGAGCCAGGTCGTCAGTTACGAGAGTCAGCAACGTCATTAAGTGTTTGAAACAGCGCTTAGGAGGTGACTTCTGATGGAATGAACACTTGGCAGTGTACCCAAGTATTTTCATCAGGACCTGAAGGAATCACCCTCCTTTCCTGGCTGCATCAAAGAAAACATGGGAAACTTCACAAGACTAAAAGTACTGTGTCAACATAAACGCCTTTAGGATTTATTTTCAGAGAAAATACAAACTAGACCAAGACAAATTTGTATGTTACTGGGGCCTATTAAGACCCAGACATTCTGCTCTGTATAAAATAAAAGATGTCTGACTTAAGAACCTGACCTTGAAAGGGCTTCAATCGAATTCAGATGAAGAAAGGGGAAGAAGAAAAGCAGAAAGAACACTCGCCCAAACACTTTGAGGTGTAGTTGTTCAACAGGAAAGTTTGCATTCAAGAGATACTAAAGAGCTAGCAAAAAACAAAACAAACAAACAAACAAAACCCAACCCTTTGCAAAGCAACCGCTTTGGTGGGATGGAAGCGAGCCGACCACTACTTTTCAGTGAGGTGGTTATTACGGGAGCAGTGACACCCAGGCACGCCTAAGAAGCAGGTGTGCTCGTGAGCACTGCAGGCACACTGGCTCCAGGGAGCCCCAGGACATCTACCACTGCCATCAAACAACCCACTTACTTCGCTGAGCATTTTGCTCACTTTCAAAGCATGGTCTAAAAACAAGGTTGGGAGATCTGACACTGGATCATGCATATTTTGAATGTCTTTCTTGTACTTCACCTATGAAAATAACATGGAACACAATACCATCTAGAAAAAAATGTTATGCTTTTGTATTATTGCCATTATCATGCAGAATCCTAAAGAACTAGCTAGTGGTAAATTGACAGGTGAATTTGCAAGTAGCCACTAGATGGTGCTCATTTACTACTGAATGAGTAAAACAGAAGTTATCTGTAAAGACTTGAAAATATTTTAATTAATTCCTTTTATTGTTTATATATTCAAAAAGGGTGATGTTAACAGAATCAAGTAATTTTAACAGAAATTCTGCTTTCAAAACCTAAAGGGAATAGCAGCTTTATTCTTTAGAAATTATTACTGTATTTCAATTATGCCTTGTGGCAATTTAGGGCTTTTGCTATTTTGCATGCTATTGCCATATATAGACCTTTGTTGTTGTTTTTTTAACTAACTGCTTTGGAAATATAATAATATCAATAACCATAATACAAAATATATTAAGCACTTACTGTATGCCAAACACTTTTCTAAACATGTTATATGTACTTAGTATTTAATCTCCACAACCCCAGTAGGTAATTATTTTAGGTATCTCCATTTTACAGATGAGGAAATTAAGGCACAGAAAAATGGTGTTATAATATTAAGAAAGGGAGCAGACATTATGCTCTAGGTTCCTTTAAACATTTTCTAACTGTATATGCTTTACATTTTTACCCACACAGGAAGGAAGGGAGGAAAGAAGGAAGGGAGGAAAGGAGGGAGGGAGGGAAGGAGGGAGGGAGGAAGAAAAAACAGATCATTCTGATATTCCCAGTGGTCCTAAAAGACAGAAACACCCATTTCAGTTGCTGGTGACAAACAAAAGTTGGTTAAAGAATGCAAATTAACAATACCTTCTGTAAACATTAGTGAAAGTAAGATATACTACATCCGAAGAATAGGACAGAAGTTGAAAGGTTTAAATGATCTAACAAAGCAACAGTTCAACAATTAATACTTGGGAAGGTATTTTGTACCTCCCACAACTATAGCAAAGTGATCATCAGTGTTTCTCCATGTTTCTGTTTTTTACTCTAACTTTAATAAAAATTTAGGACACCTTTTCCTGTAAATTAAAACTTGATTATTTTTAAAATATGAAATGAAAATAAACCTTGTGAAAAAGGAGTTCATAGTATTTACATAATGGATAAAGAAGAAATTGTAAGCCATTACAGATACAATTTCTGAAAATTTCTTTATGAAACACTATAATACACTGTACCAGGTAGCACTTTGCAGTAAGCCCCAGTTTGTGGGCATAATTACATGACCACTAATTTAAGATACTACACACTACTTTTCTGTAAAACTCTAATCTACTTCTACTTTTGACCAGATATAATAATCGTATTAGCAATACTATTCTACTATCAACTAATTAGTAATCAGCAACTATTAACAGTATATCACAATAATAGATTTTTCTCAAAGAAGCTGCAGGAAAATATGTTTTCAACTAAAATTGCTGGAAATTATGTGATTTTGTTTAAGTAGCAATAATTACAACACAGCTGATTCTTAGTAAACAAGAATCAAAAGATATTGAAAATAATTTTCTATGAATTACCAGTCACGAGACACAAGGTAACTTACATTACTAGCCAGTTCTGTGGCAAGCTGATTTTGCTTAAAAGAAACGCTTTCAAGGGGATTGTAATGATGTTTCTTATCCTTCATTTCATTATCAAATTTTTCTTTGTATTTAATCTGCCATAGAAGAAAAAACAGGATAAGTTAAATTGCACATTTATCTTTAAGCTTCGAAATAACATTTGATTTTTAATTAGATCAGATAAAAGCTACCTTAAAAACAAATGATAGCAAAGTTGAAATTCCTGGTGTTTGCCCGTGTATAAAGCTTAATTAGGCATACATTTTTTTTTGTACTAAAAAAAACCTCTACTTGAACATTGATCATAAATGCAATTAGGCATGAACTCAAATCCTATTAACAAGAATTATGCACTAAACTTTCAGGACTTTTAAGAGATTTTTATTCAAATATATCTAACATAGGGCCGGCCGAGTGGCTCCTTGGTTAAGAGTTGTCTTGGGAGCAAGAGCTCTGAGCAGCAGGGCCACTGGTTCAGATCCCACATGGGCCAGTGACACTGCGCCCTCTACAGCTAAGATGGTGAACAACAGCTTGACCTGGAGCTGGGCTGCCGAGAGTCACCGGTGACAGCATAGGCTACCATAAGCTACCATGAATGGCTGGCAGCCAGCGTGAGCTGCTGTGAGCTGCCATGAGTGGCCGTCCAATGGCCAGCAACCGATCTGCCTCACACGGAAAGAGCACAATGATAATACCAAAATGGGCCAGTGAAACAACGTCCTCCACAACTAGACTGAAGAACAAAACAACAGCAACTTGTCTGTTACCTTTCCCCGATTCCCCAATGCTGTTCCCCTTCCCTAATTCTCCAATTAAAAAAAAATGTATATATATATATATATATATATATATATATATATATATATGTATAAAACATAGAATATTGCATTAGTTTCAGGTGTACACCATAGTTATTCAACTTTTATATACCTAAATAAGTGATCATCATGATAAGTCCAGCAACCATCTGACACCATACCACGCAACCACAATATTATGGACTATATTCTCTATGCTGTACATTACATCCCCATGACTTATTTGTTTTATACCTGGAAATTTGGGCCTCTTATTCCCCTTTAGATTTTTGCCCCCTTTTTAATTTTTCAATTACAGTTGACATTCAATATTATTTTATATTAATTTCAGGTATACTAGCATAGTGGTTAGATATTTAAATAATTTTAAAAATGATCCTCCTGACTGGTCTAGTACCCACCTGGCACTATATATAGTTATTACCATATTATTGACTATATTCTCTATTCTGTGCTTTACATCCCCATGACTATTTTATAGCTACCAATTTGTATTTCTTAATTCCTTCACCTGAAATCTAAGGATTTTTAAATGTCACTTTCCATTTCTGCATTCCTATAATCGATGGTCAATTAGAAATTTAGATCACAAGTAGATTAAAGTCTGACACATTTAGAAAAGGGATCCTGAACCCCGGAATTTGAATATGAATTTTCATGAGGTAAATATTCCAAATACAGGCAGGCCATGGTTTGTACCACAGTTTTTCTCATCATTTCCCATTTGTTCAAAAATTCATTTTTAGGGATTACATTTTCTGAAATGTCCTGGGTCTAATTAATGTCACTTTTTTATTCCTCTGCTTTTACTCCACATTTGTATTTAGCAGTAAAACTCTCTAATATTCACTCTAAATTATTTTTCTCTTTTCTTAAGTAGTCTTAGGGCAACCAAAGAAAGGATTATCAAGTTATCCTGGAAAACTGTATTTTTCTCCATGGATAAATATGTGAATATATGTTATGAGAACTAACTGGAATATAAATACAAGTTATTTACCAAAAACAAACAAACAAAAAAAACTACCTGCTTAAATCTCACACCTCCTTTGATTCCTATAGCCAGGAAAGGATGCACAGAAGTAAGCTGTTTTGTTCTCTTATAATATTTTTACAATATTATAATTCTTACAATATTTTGCTTTCTTATAATATTCTCTTATTGCACCTTTATCCATACAACATAAGGCTGTACCCTGAAGAAATTTTTATTAAAAAGCAGTTCGTGGATTGCTATTTTAATTGAGTGTATTGGTGATGGTCTCTCTCAGGGACACATGCCTGCAACCTATGGGATAGAGCTAGGGAAAATCTTGGTGGGAACACAGTTGGAAAATATTTCAAGACGGTTTATAGAAAATAGTTTCTGTTGTGGTTCCATCTGCTAATAATAATTTTCTGATGTTCATGTTGCCTTATAAATTCAAGCAAAACCTCATTTATTCTAATTAATTGGTAAGACCTCCCTAAAACAAGAAAAACTCTGGATTTTTAAGAAAAATTATTTTATGTCTTGAAATCGGGGACAGTATCACCAATAGAATAAATTGAGATCTGTCTCATTCACTATTTTCCACAGTAGCTGGCACAAAGCAAAGGTTTTCCCCCACTTCATCCTCCCTAAACACACAGTTCTACTGCTTACTTACTGCCTTTGCACCTTCTATACCCCTCTGCTAGGGTACTTTTCACAGTATTTTAATCAGTGCTTTTGTCTCTTTCTAGGTTTTTAGTGCTTAAAGGATATCGTTCAACAATGATGGTGGACGCTCTTAATTGGCTTCCACTTGAATGGCACTGCTGGCTGGGCCAAATGCACCAACACTCCACTTACTGAGTAAAGCGTTCTGACTGACAGCCATGGTGCCCTGAACACTCTTAGATGGTAGCTACTTAACTAATTGATCCTGCTATGGGATATGGCCTTGCATCAGGCTTTCCCTCAGGTATTTACAGTCTCCAGCCCCACGTACCATGAGAGTCTCAGTTACGTATTAGCGACAAGGCACATGCAGGTTATACGATCCTTGCTCACAAAGAGCCCTGCGTACTGTCTCTGCGCACACAGTAGGTCGTCCCAGCGCAATGACGCTATAAGGGGCGTAGGCAGCAGCACCCAAGCGGGCATTACTTGGAAATTCACCTCACAAATACTCATTTGTCATTAAACCCACCATTTGCTCTTCTTGAGAAAAGGTATATTTCTGAAAAGCAATAATCAATCCACGTTGGAATAATTCTTTCCTTCCTCTGTTCCTTAAACATTGAGTCTGTGTTGAGTTCCTACTATAAGGTAGCAGGAGCACCTACCTGAGGTTGGGAATATGACCCAGACGCACTCCGTCAAGACTGGGGTCAGTCAGTAATCTCTTGCAAAAGCAAATCTGACTGAATCACACTCACACTTAAAAATGGTAACCTCCAGCACTTCTGCTGCCATTAGGTATGTTGTAAGCTTGCTAAGAGTCAACTGAGTTTGTCCCTAATCCTGTTTATGCTAGTCTTACTTATTATAATTACAACATTTATTTTAATATTTCAAACACTGGTAAATTTACTGGTAAAAGAGTTATTATTTCTATGAAAACTATGTTATTGCTATGAGAGACTTAATGAAGGCAATTTCCTAGAAAGAAATTGTTGTCAAATTCAGGGTTGTCAAGACAACCAGCAAAATCAGGGGCAGGGGGTATAAATAATCTAGAAGGTTCTAGAACTCAGAGCAGCAAACTATCTTTAACAAAATGTCTCTCAAAATGCAAATCGCAGACAATGCTGTGTGAGTACGCTTTGCAAGAAAAACAGCATAAAATTCCACACCGAAGATTCCTTTTGCAAAGAAAAAGACTTGTCACTACATCAAAAAGTTCATGAATAAATGAACACAGATATGTTTTGTGTTAAAATAAAATGTTAAAATGGCTTTGTAATAGATTTTGATAAGAACTTTATTTTTGAAGGTTTCTACCATTGTTATGCATTGGGCTATACATCTTAAAATTTGAATTTTAAAATGCTGTCTAACCTTTCCAGGTTATTTCTGTAGCATGAGATTAATTATTTAAAGTACAACTGTCATTCATATCCTTCTAATGAATATAATAATAGGCAAAGTGTTGTGAAATTTTTCTTGTTCTAACCTGCAGTAAGTACCTGCATGATTTGATTAAAAAACGCTAAGGAAGAAAACTGCAAGAGTTTCCCTCATTAGTTAAACACAAAGTAAAATAGCTACATTATATTAAAACATACATTTACCAGACACTGACACCCACCTGTTTCCTAGCTCTTTTCTGTAAGGTTTGCACATGCGTGAACTAAAAATATAGCCAAATGGTTTAAATGGTTCCTCCCATCACTCACCTTCTGACTGGTCCACTCACAAACTACACATATACACCCAACATTCTACCTTATCTTCAGCCCACAGTTCACACATCTGAGTGTACCTCTTCATGCCCACTCGCATCTCCTAAGAAATCAAGGCAATCCTTTCCTCTGATTATAACTGGTGACTCAACCATGAAACAAAGGATCTCCCTTCCAGCTTTAAGACCATTTGAGACATTTGTGCTGGGTGACTGCCATGGTTTTAAGACACGGTTATTTCTTATACCTAAATCAATTATTTCAGAAACAAATGAAAAGTACTTACACCTATTTGTTTACATTATGAATATTATACTAACTATCCTAATTATCTACAAACTTTTTTTAAAATGTAAGGTAGGTATATAGGATCAACTCCTCAACATTTTATAAAGAATTGTAACAGGCTTAGCAGGGCTTCCAGAGGCCCATACCTGGAGAAAACGCTGGAGCTGTTCAAACTACAATGACATAAACTATTGGGTTGTCGGAAAAGTCATGACGTATTTTTCCTATGTTTTTCGTTGCAAAAATGCATCATGACTTTTCCAACAGCCCAGTAGTTCCTCAGAGCTGCATCTGGACAAAGCAGTGTTTTTCAACAGTCCGAAGCTGGACTTCTAATCCCAGGGGTTCAAAGCTTTCAGCATGAGGGGTGCCAGGCTTCATGACATCATCTATGGCTCAGGTTCACAAAGAGCCAGAAAAGGCAGAAAAAAGCAGACCCTGAATGAAAGCTTTTCATCATAGCCGTAGAAACAAACGTTAGGAAAGAAATGGAAAATTTGAGTATATTTTCCAAAAATAAGTATACCTTAATTATCAGTGAAAGTGAAAAGTAAACAACACAATGCCACGTATCTGTAGGCCTCAATGCTTTCCAGTTTTGGATAAAGCTGAACTAAACGCTGTCAAGCAAGAGAGTATAAACAGATTTTCATGCAGAACTTGCCATAAAATTAGTGACATTTTTGTGTCTGAATGTTAGACAAAATATCTCTGCCCTCGTTTTCATAACAAAATATGTGCCTGACTTTGCACCAAATACGATCTAGAGAAATTTGTTTAATTGGTCTATAATGTTTATTGAAAGCTAAATATGTACCATCCATTCTACAATGGTGGTGAGTGAAGTAGATAGTTAAAATACACATATACATATGTAGGACTATTTAAAATTATGTTAAGAACTACAAAGAAAAAGGACAGAGAGAGTCATACAATTTAAATTGGCAACTCAAGGATGTGATGTTTAAGCCAATACTTGGGTGTGAGAAGGTTGGTGGAGAGAGTACTTGCTAGGAAGGAAGACTTAGACATTCTGCAAACCAATGAATATCCCTTACAATTTAAAAACAATACTTATTATTAAATTTTAGCAGCAATCTAACATGTAATTTTTAGGTTTAAAACCCTTTCTTATCAATATAGCAAATGCAATTTTTAGAACAAATACTAATTATTATAAATACACAATTTTTCCTTGGTACTATAAAACTAAAGAATTCCATTCATCACGTAGACAAATTCCAAGTAATACATTAAGATGAGACACGACTATATTAACAAATAACCTCTCTTAGAAGAAGTTTTTGAAGCGATGGCTTTGTTACTGCACTTATGAGTATATTTGAGATACTTGTAAGTTCACCAATCTTTTTATGTTGGCACATGAGATTTACTTTTATTTTTTTCCTGATTTAATCATTTGACCATAATTTTCTGTCTCTCCCTAAGTTTTAAGAGAGGCAACTTGACCACTATGGGAGCAAAGCTACTGTATATAGAAAGGGTTTGGTATGTGTTTCCTTTACCTTTTCTGGGTTTAATCCCACAGAGCTCGATTTACAGGTAAAATGGGAGAATTCTGCTCACTCACTTTCTTATTCTCATCTTTTCATCAGGCAGGTCTTATCAGTCCATGCCATGAACACTGGCCCCGTCACCACCTTCTCTCTCACAGTCCTCCTAGCGCTATCTTGCTTTTTCCTTCCTGTATCCTGCCCTCACTTCCCCTGCGTATTGCATTGCTAAACCACTTCCTTTTTCTGTATTTATTTGCGGGCTTTGAGGGCTCCTAGATTCACAATCTGCCCTTAGTTTGGGAGCAAGAGAATATATGCTCTTCAAAGTTGTCCATGAAAATAAGAAACTTGACATTCTGCCCCTGGTTCACCTGAAAAGACAAATGGAACTTCCTGAGTTCATTCCAGAAATCCTACATATTCATCTCCCCCGTTTTCCCCTTTTCTGATGAGTTTCTATACCATGAGATCAGTAAGAAGGTCACGAAAAAGTAAAGATAATAGTTATAACTTACAAATACTATCTGCTTAAGTATCTGATCATTCAGTTGCTCACAAATTGAGATTTTTTTTTTAATCTACCTAAAAGCCCATGTGGGAGTCAACTGGTAAGATTTGTGGTGACTGAATTTGAAATGTGAAAATAGAAGCTCAAATACCAAAGCTTTTTCTAAGGACTCTCAAACAAGGTTAGTAAAAGAGGGAACTAAGGCCGGCATCGAAGAGCCAGGGTACTCTTCCTGCTTAGTTCTGCATGCAAATTCATGTCAAAAGGTGGAGTGGAACACTACTCTGAATACCTACTATAAAATTATTCCTACGAAATGATGTAGCATTTCTATGGCCCAGGCAGCATTTTCAGTGCTTTACTCACAGTAATTCATTTAACCCTCACAACAACCCTAAAAAGTAGCTACTGCCGTCATCCTCATTTTGCCAGCGGGGAAAGTGCAGATGGAGAAATGAAGCAATTTCTCCCAGGGCACTCAGCAAGCGGCAGAACCAGGAGTTTATCTCAAGCCGTCTGGCTCCCAAGCCCATTTTCTTACTCACTCAACCGAACTGTACTATTTTTCTAGAATCTGCTGCTTCTCCTATACAATCGAGGGGGGAAATCTTTGTCCCCAGGAAAGGCTGAAATCAGAAGAAGTCAGGTAGCTGTGCTGGAAATCTACAGCGATACCAGCAGGGCTCCCAAATACGTGCCAATAGACCCCGTCTTTTCAACAGGCGTTTCTTGGCATAAGAAGAGCTTGGAGTCACAGCCCTTCTTGGCTCTTGAGAATGTCACCCAGACAGGTCCCCAATTTCTTAGCACATTAGGAGCCTCCTGAGTCACAAAGTTGTTTTGTAAGTGAAAGTGCCTTATAAACTGCGAAGCCATTAATAAGAGGCAAAACAGTTGATGTAAAAGAATTACATTTGGGCAGCTCATTCACCCCTTCTCTCTGCCTCTTTTTCACCCCCACGACCAGCATCTTTTCGGGTTCTGGTCACTCTATGTGTGGCTTACCACAGCAACATTATCAGCTGGCCTCTGGGATTTTCGCTTCTCGTTAGTGAGACTTTCCTGCACAGTGCTGCCACATTAACCTTCCTTAAAAAGTATTTTCTTTTCAGTGCTTGTAAAATTTTCTGTGATAACACATTTTTTACCTTAAAGTAGAGGCTACTTGAAAGACAAGAGTGGTGAGAAGTAGTGGTGAGAAGATGATTCTTTTCCTAAATTCAACTGTAAAAGGCTCCCCATTATTTCATTCCAAAATCATTTTCCTTGTTACCTTTTCTTTTATAGAACACATGATTCCTACCAGGCTCTTTAAGTATGGCCTATCGTCCAAATTCAACACTGACCCATTAACTATCACACAGCTTCTCAACTCTTCCCAAATTCCCATGCGTGTTTATGACCCGCACCTCCTTGCTAGGTCATCTTGGTCTGCTGTCAGACTTCTCTCCTCTGTCATACATGGTCCCAACCTTTATTTGGGGGTCTTCCCCTGAGCAGACCTTTCTCTCCTTTTAATTCTGACTTAGCTCAAATCTACCTCCTACACACACCTTTCTAATTACACTGCCCCTGATGTTTCCTCCACACTCACAGAATGACATGGGTGTAAATAACATTTTGTTTTTACTTTTTTGGCATTTCCCTTTCTACGAATAAACTTGAGCATCATCTTCAATGTTTACTGGCTATTTATATTTGCTCTTCTGTGAACTGTCACCTCCTTTGCTCAGTTTTCTATGGGGCAGTTTGTCTTTTTCTTTTCAATATGAAAGAACTTTCGTATATTCCAGATATTAAAATGTTCTCATCATACGCATTACAAATATTTTTGCAAATATTTGAAAGCCATTGAACTTTTTATATTTTAAAAAACTATTCTTAGACACTTCCTTCTCCATATAAACTCTAACTTATTTAATTCCAATATTTAATATTATTCAAAAATTTTAAAAGCCTGGTTGCATTCTAACAGAAATTGCATTAAATTTTAAAAAGTAATTTTGGAAGAATTAACATTTTTATGATATTGAGTATTGAGACTCCTGAGATCATAGTAGGTCTTTTTATTTGTTCAGATATTATTTTATGTTCTTCTGTTACATTTTATAGCTTTCCTCAGTTACATCTCTCCATTCTGAAATGTAATTAAGACTTTTGCAACTTGAGGAGTGGATATTTTCAAAGCTAAAAGCACTATAAATGTATGAAACTTACTGTTTGATATCATTATGTTGACTTCACAAATGTCACATTTTTCCATTGAAAGAATTTTAAATTTTTACACAGTCAAGCACACCTAACTATTCTTTTATAGTTTCTACGTTGCTGGTTTTATTTAAAAACAACTCTGTTAACCCTATTTGGTATATATAGACTTCTGGATTTTCTATGATTTTAAAATTATCTTATTGTTTATATTCACATATTTAATCCATCTGGAATTCATTTTTTATATGGTTTGAGATTCAGGTCCAATTTTATTTTTATCCTGATGGATGGCCAGTTATGTCAGCACCATTTATTAACTAATCCAACTTTTTCCCACTGACTAGAACCAACACTTTTATCATATATTAAATTCTTATACATAATGGAATCTATTTCAGGATTCCCTATTCCATCCTACTGATTATTGTATCTCTTACTACACCAATCCCATATTGATTTAATTCCAGTGGTTTTATATTATGTTATGGTAACTCATAACTTAAGTTTTCCTTCACTGGTCTGCATTTTCATACTTTTAAAGGCTATTCTCAGGCATTTCCTTTCCATTCAAACTCTAAGATCATTTTATCCATTTTTTTTAAAAAAAACCCTATTGGAGTCTAATTAAAATTGCATGACATTTATATATTAATTTGGGGAAAGCTGAAATTTTTATCTATTGAGACTTTCAACCAAACACATGGTATGTCTTTATAGTTTTTCAGATCGTTTTTTATGTTCTTCAATAACATGTCCAAGTTTTTCATTTTCATCACTCTTTTTTAGTTCATGATTAAACTAAAGCATTTCAAAATGAAAAAATTAATACTTAATTACTAAGTTAAAATGTGTGTGTGGGGTGTGTGTGTGTGTGTGTGTTTGTGTGTGTGTGTGTAGACAGACAGATACATACAAGTCTAATTATCTGATATTCCCACTGCTAAGTTCTAGAAATCCTGGGAAATGTGATCATATAGCTAAACTCATCAGAACAGGTTAGATTTGAGCCAAGAGAAAAGAAAACTTTGTTTTATGCTTAAATTGGACTTATCATTTTCCCTTACTGGAATTTATAATTGCAATCCTATCTGAAATGGTTTCAGAAACATTCTCTTTGTATGTTGTTGCAATTAAAGATACTATCTAAAATGAAATATTTTCCTGTGCTCCTAGAAACAAAATATCTGAATAAAATAATTGTGGAATCATCACTGGAGTCTTACTTGACTGGAAAGTTTAGAAGCTTCCACAGCATGTTCAAAATCTGGTCTTCCAATTACAGCAGGCTCTTTATTCATCAGTCCTTGCCCTTTCTTGTACTCTGCCTAAAATGAATAAATAAGAGAACATTGAATGTTTCTCTTCCCGAGGAAGAATTTAGCTAAAATAAAACATAAAAGACCCTCAAGTCCATAAAAAATAGTCCTTACAACTCACCAAATACTGAAATGCTGACTGCTAAAGTAGAATTGGTTTTATAGTATGGTTATTTAAATGAATTCAACTATTTTTTGTAGTAAAATAACTACTAATTTTAAGTCATGTATCCAGTCATCATCTTCATTGTGTTTATATATAAACACTGAAAAAAATTAGAGGAAATTTCTGGATAATTGAGGCCCTGCATTCTGCATACAGATAGCTTTTACTACTGTGTTCAGTCTCAGGAACTGATCTAACCCTGTTACATTAACACACAGTTGAATTCAGGAAATAATTAATGATTTTTAAGGTGATGACAGCCTATGTTAGTCAAATATTTGGTTCAAGTTAAGTTATCATTTGTAACCAGGGTTTTAGGTATGGTCACGTAAAATGGTATTAGCCAGGGAAGATATCTGAGAGAAAGTAAAAAACAACCACGATGAGTAGGAAACACACAGGAGTCAACGGTGGCAGAAGAGAATCTGCACAACTAACAGCAACAAGGTAAGAACAAGGCCCATTGAAGTCATGTGGGACAAGGTGCAGTAAGAAATACTGTGGGACCAGATGACCGACAACCTTGACTTTCAAGCTGAGACATTTAACTGCTATTTTATACCGAATAGTACTTACGGCTCTAAGCTATAATATTATAATACTCGCCATAGTCAAGTCATGTTTGGGCAACTTCCACATAAACCTGAATAGTTTACATAGTCAAAGAGATAATTCAGATTAAAAAATTGAGATGTCATTAATTCAGATTGAAAATTTCACTCATTAAATTAACCATCCAACTACCAAAGCCATGCTTTATCTCCTGCAAAAATAATAAATCCATATCTGCTCAAGATAAGAAAGAGAGATTACATTGCTTATGATCTTGGAGATCTGAGTTGCCATCTTGATGTCTGGTCTGTCGAGCTTTGCACTATACAGGTGGGTGTCCTGCATATCTTTTCTGTAAGAAATCTGAACAAACAGATAGTTTTGATTTGAAAAAACAAGTTAGAAATAGTTTGAAAAAACTATTCCATATAGTTGCTAGCTTTAATGTCCATAACATTATTTATCCTTGTCATAATCGCCTTAGAAAGATTACTGACCGTAAGTTGTTTTAAATGTTTTATGCACAATTTATTTGGACAAATATATTCTCTTTTTACTATACCTATGCTTTACTAACGTTATTACATATGAATTGAACTTATACAACATAAGAAATATGAGCCCAAGACCTTGACACAAATAGGATTTTACATATACCACCCTCATCAGCACGTCACTGTACATATATATGCGCATAGTCACATACAGAATATCCTCACCAAGGGCTGTAACTGGTCCATCACAGTCTCTACCCCCAGTGATACAGGATAAGCCCCAGTACATGAATACAGAAAATCACCTCTGGGGCTGAGGGTATGTGAAGCTCTAGAGCTCTCCAGCTTTCACCTCCCCCATCACACCCTTCTCTCCCTTTTCTGACCGGACTATTCACGTGCGCATCTCTGGGGGTCCTAGTCATGGGTACTGATAGTGTTATTTGCTTGTATATGTATTGCAATGACTTGATCTTCCCAAAATAAAAGCAATTACATAAAGGAATATTCATCTTCCCAATGTGGAGAATGACACAATCCAACCAAAGTATATATACTTTGGTTGGAAAATAAAGATTTAAAAAGAAAAATACACATAAATTTTGCCAAATGTACTTTCGATGACAGTGGTCATTTATATGAACTTGGCTGACAAATGGGAGGAAAGACCAGATGATCAGCATCTCACCGGTCTGTCCAGTTCTCTATTTCTTGAGATGACTCATGAGCTGAAAGAATATTTGGCTATTTTCCAGATGCAGTTCTATTTGGTAATATCACCAAGAGCTGGTCAACTTGTCTATTATATTATATTCTATTAAAAGTATAATGCAGGGGCAGCCGGTTAGCTCAGGTGGTTAGAGAGCAGGCTCATAACACCAAGGTTGCCGGTTCAATTTCCACATGGGCCAAGGAGCTGCGCCCTCCACAACTATTATAAATTGAAGACAAGTACTTGACTGAGAGCTGATGGGTCCTGGAAAAATACACTGTTCCCCAATAAAATTTTTTTAAAAAGTATAATGAAAAGGGTGTAGTAACTTTCAAAAATGAAACCCATCTTCATTGTTTCAAGGTACAGAAAGATGGAATACAGAAATCACAACGGAACATCCATACAAACGGCAAAATTAACTAGATTTTGTACAAAGCAAACATTTCTAATATTGCCTACAAACTTTCTGCAATAGCACCATCTGGGTTACTTATTTAAAATTTAGATTTCTGAGGTCTACCCCCAACCCTCTAGAATGCAATTTCAATAAATGGGGCCCAAGAATCTACATTTTAATGAATTCCCTAGTTGACCACTATGAACCAGTATTCTCGATAATTCAATGTATCTTGTTATTTTCCTTTCAACCTTGCAGAGTTATAAAACACTGGTATTTTCTTACTTCTTTCAAAAATAATATTGAGTGTAAGAAATGATAATGCATTAAGACTTCAATAGGCTCCCTATATATTTTCTTATTTCAATGAAACATTTATGTACATTTCTATTTTTTAAGAGCTTACATTTGCCCACCATCAACACTATTTTTTTAGCTTGTTTATAATCATGAACCTGTCTGACAAGTGAACACAGCTTAAATACAACCAGCAACATTTCAGCAAGAACACCTGTTTTCTTCAGTATTTCTGTTTTCATAGGCTTTACCTTAACAAGTAATGTCAGGTAGGTTTGTGCATACAGGTAACAAAAGAAACACAGAAATAAGCTGAAAACTGAGTTATTTTCTTGGGTGGATTTAAAATATGCCAATTTCATTGGTTTCTAAAAGCAACAAACTCTCCCACAAATGATAGCCAATCAACCTCAGCTCGCACCAAGTTAAGCACAAGCTTTGTACACAAAAACCAACTCTCAGGTGAAAACAAACCAAAATTATTACCCACCTATGAGACTAGCCGTTTCTCAGTTACTACATGCATCTGAAAACCATAGGGAGGGGATGTCTTTGTGTCGAGAAGAGAATGAGAGTAAAATGGAAACCCTTACTTTTTGAAAAGAGCTGCAATCTTTCAGAAATCGAAGCTTTACGTGGGTTACCTAATTATATGCTGTTCAGCCTAATGACAGCCCTGAAGAGAAGGTGAGCACCACCAAGGGGGCAGGCGCAGGACTCTGAATAGGGCCCCATCATCCATGTAAATTGCAAATTAGAGGCCGGCATATGTGACTCCAAACAAATATTAAGATTGACGTGAGCTGCAAATTCAAACAAGAGGACACCACAGAGCCACAAAGGAGAGGAGCACAGAAGCCTGGTCACTCGTCAGACCTTCGGGAGTCTCACTGCTTGGGGACAGCCCATGGGAATGGTGAGCTTACACTGAGGGACACTGAGAGTAGCAAGCACCTGGTTTTCACTATCTGCAAGGATGTCTGCACATAGTTGGTACGACAACATGGGTCATTTTCCTAAGCAAGTCTTTTGTAGTGGACATGTGTTCGCTTTTTTTTTTTTTATGTGCCTAGCATTTTTTATTTGGGAAATGCCCCTCCCTTACTCCATGTGGTTTGATGGGGCTATCAAATACAGCCTACCTTCCTGGTGACAGGAGTGGCCATATGACAGGCTGTCCAATTAGATGCCCCATCCCTTTGGAAGCAATGATTAATCAGAAGGGAGACACCTAACACAATCAAGGCCAGAGTCATGTGAAGGGTCTGAGGCTGGGTGAGAAAGGGCTTCTGTCTTCTCTTCTGGGATCAGCTCCTGTAAGGATGATTGAATTTTGGAAACACCAGCTGTTCTCTTGAGACCACCTAGTCAGAGTCAGTCTGCAAGTGAAGTCACAGGAGCTAGCAGAGAGCCAAGAGGTGGCGAGAGAGGGAGAGTCCCAGTGACTCTGTAGAGCCTCTGGGTCCAGCTGTGCCTGAAGGTAGCTTGAATTTTCCAATTATGCAAACCAATACATTCTCATTTTTCACTTAGACTAACTTGAGTGGACTTACCTCATTAAATATAGGAACTCCTGACTAACCCAGCCTCCATTTCATCTGCTTTTCTGCATTGTCAAATCTGCTCTTGTATTACCGCCAATGAAGATGTTAGTTCTATCAAAATCTGCTGTTAAATTTCTTCTTTATCTCACCCTGTTCACTTTCCCACTCAGCTTCTTTTTTCATCTCATTGTCTTAAAGTCACTCAGTCACAGTTTATTGTCTCCTTATAAGCTTCTGTGTCATAAGTCCGTGGCGTTTGCATGTTTCCTACATTCATGCAGAGTGTCCAGTGTACCAGGCACTGTTCTAAAACCTTTTATTTCACTAAATCCTCACTACACCTGCACCCTCCCAATGGAACTAGTTATCCAGAATCTTATCCTTGTATCATCCTGGGTTGACTTGGCCAATAAGAGACCCATTAGATTTTGAAAACAGAAGTAAAACGGATGCCATTATACTCCATGTACAGCCAGACACGTGGGCAGACAAAGGATTCCCAGTGACTTTTCAGCAAGCTTTTCATAGTTAGACAACAGTGATCTGAGATTCCTCAGTAATTGAATTAATAAATTAGAGAAAAGCAAAACCTCCACCAAGACTGTCCTGGAAGTTCAAGCACTTGGAGATGAGAAGAGTGAGAACTGAGGGATGGCAGCAAGGAATGGAGCCACAGACAGACAGACACCCTCGGGGGCTAAGGGCAGTGTGAGTAGACAGACTTACAGAAATCAAAGCCAACTGGCCCTTTGCTACTCTGGTGAAGGTTAGCATGGTTCTTAGGGAGAAGGAATTAGAGAGGATATACTATATCTTTCAAGTTTGTGGGAAAGAAGTCAGTAGTGTAACCTGTATTTAATTACATTCTTGAAACACGAATTCGTTCATTCTCAAGAAATACTTTTATCATCATCATAGACTCTCACATTAGGAAGCTCTCCAGGTATCATCAAAGAGGCACATGGACTGAAAATTCTATCTTAGGCTAATTTCTGTCTGGGCATACTGTATGTAAAAAACTACTAACGTATTAAATTGTAAATATTATCTTTATCAGAGAACGTAAACCTTTTAAGTATAAGTAAATGGAGGCTCTGATATGCATCGGAACAGAAAAGTTTTCAATCTTCTAAAAGATGGAGCAAAATACAGAGCTATATCAAGAACAGTTTATCATTCTTATTATTGTCATTATTTATAAGAGCATTTTAAAGTTAATGTAAGTTTTCTTATTCATGATTTAATTTTACCATCACCACAATCTTGTGAAGAAGGTGGAATAGATATTGCTAACTATTCTGTCTTAGAGATGAACAAAATACTAATGTATCTATTTCAATACTAAACCATAAAGCACTATTATCGTAAGTCACATCAAGGAACCACACAGAATCATAAATGTTTTCCTAGTATCGTTTTACTGATTTATCTTTGAGCTTTTTCACTTTCTGATGGAATAGAAATTTTGTCTACTGATAAGATTTTATTAACATTAAGAAAGTACATATATCATTTTTGAAAAGAACATTGAGTCTCTTGTTTCCCCTGCTGAATACTTCTTTCTAATGCACATTGAATTGATTACTGATATGGTGTTTTGGAAAAGTTTACCACTTCAATTTCATGACAAGTCTATATAGACCACATTACTTATAAAACTTAAAATGGCAGTTTAAAATTTGTTTGACTTACTTCAGAACTATCGGACTTCATGTCTCTAGTAAGATTGATGAGAACTAATAATATTACTGGGGTTTTCATTACAAGCCCATCTTTAGGGAAAAGCAACAGGATAGAATATGTCCAGTTTCTCTAATTACATTAGAGGAATTTGGCAGGGATGCATCCCTTAAGATGCAAAAGGATTTAGATTCGCTCTTTTAAATCATTTTCTGATTACAGTATCAACAAGATAGGTAGTTATTATGGGTTCAGGAACCTTTTGACCATGCCCTTCTGACCTACATGCTTCTTAACATAAATTCCATATTGGTTTGGCCTTTTTATGAAATCTCACCTCTTTTAATTGTTTCGAATGAACTATGATATCACCATAAACTCTTAACTCACCCTTTAAAACTGGAGGGGGACCAAATGGGACTCCTATTTTACGGAGTGGCTCTCCTGCAGAGCCCTTTACATCTATATCATCTCATTGAACACCTGCTAGGGCCCAAATGAGATAAAGATCATTTCCCTGATTTTACAGATGAGACAGCCGAGATTTGGAGATATTTGTCACTTGCCCCAGGTCACGCAAGCAACCTGTGGAAAAGCAATCAAATACCTTTTCTATTTTTGGAGGATATTCTGAGAAATATTTTCCCCCTATTTCTTGATCATTGGATTTTGGGGTGATAATGAAGACAACTGCGCCCTGATGACTTTTACCCTTGCACCGCTCAGTGATTCAGAGGCCAGTCACAAGGAATCCTCTCCCCGCCCTCAACTGCTTGGTCACATCTCTAAAGGCATAATGGAGAGAAAGGCTCTGAAAGGGAAGCATTCCCCTTGGCCCATTGATGAATATTCTAAAAGGTTTGAATGGAAAGAAGACAGAAATGAAAGGCCTTGAATCATAATGGTCCCAGTTGCTGGGGTCTCTAACAGACAGTGGAAAGTTGACTTGGTTTGGGGGGACGTGTAAAAAGGTAAGCAAAGATGCCAACTTGCACTGTTTCTAGGTCAATCCGATGCACATTTGACAACACATTTGATTTTAAATTCAATGAAGTCATTTATAGGCTTAGTGCAGTGACATTCCACGTCAGGAAAGGGTACTTCTATTAGTAAATTCTCTGCAAATGAGTTTCATTGGGCTGAAGTTTTATGGGAGGCAGGGTTTTGTCTCCATGGGGGTGATGTTGCCTCACCGACTGAGCCACAAAATACGCACTTGTTTTCCTTTGGCTTATGAGACCTACGTTAAATTTCATATTGCAGGGACAACGAATGTATTATTCTAAGTGCTTTGACGCTAGAGGAATATCAACTGCTTCACAGGTAGAATACAAATATCCTTCTCACTTTAGATCTGAGTAAATAGTCTTAACACTTTCTAAATCCTATTATATGTACAAAGTTTGCATGTAAAGGTTGAGCCGGGTAGGCAGAGGAGTGTAAGTAAATACATCCTTTTCCCATAAGTACACAGTATTGAATGTAGGAGAAAAGGGCTTTATGCTCTATTCCCTCAATCCCTCAATCAAAGACCTTTTAAAAGAAAAGGCGGACTTAAAATAATAACCCCAGTTCTATGATAAGGAACTTCCGTGTTTGAATTTCATTGAATTATAGAGTTAGAAAGGGCCTCCCGAGGGTCCGTGTAACGCCAGCCCCCTCCCCGGCCCACTACCACCACCTCCTTTCCTGCAGTGCGCTGGAGCTGTGGATCTGAATTCTGATGATAACCTATTTTGCGCCCATTTAAAAATTTCATTTATAATCTTGACCAATCACCAGTGACCTTTAAGAGGGAGGCAGCAGGGCCGAACAGAGCAAACCGGGGACGTTGATTTCTTTAGTCTCGTTTTCTTCATCTACAAAATGGGAATCGGTACAGGGATTCTGTGAGCATTGGAAATGATCAAAGTCTTGGCACAGCTCTGGTACACAGCAGTGCTCGCTAAGTGGTAGTTATTATGATTATTATAGTCGTTCTGTAAGCAAACTGTTCTTATAAAGCATCCCCTTAAAATGACCTTGCTGGTAATGACAGGCATGTAGTTTCTTCATCTCATCAATCTCAAACCATCTTGGAAAAGTGCTTTGGTATCGGCACATGTTTATACATTTGGATTAAAATGTAAAACCTCACTCAGTTTTTGCTTAAGCATTGACCTATTGCAATTTAATATCAGATAACTGTTGCCATCCTGCAAAGGACGCTCTGCACAGCGGGGACTCGGGTGGGGTGTGGGGGGGTCAGAGTCCACAAAGCACCTTTCAGTAAGAGAACTAAATGGTGGGACAGACCCTGTGTGAAATCACCAAGAAGTTTCGAGTCCTTTTCAAAGAAAGCAAGTTTCTAGAGAGCAGAGAATTCATAAAGGGAAGATTAAGCTCCCCTGAGATTTCAGGAAAAAAGTTTCCTTCTAGACCACCAGGAGAGTGGCGGTAATCAAGCAAGCCCATGACAGCTTTGATGTTCCTGTAACTTATGACCATAGTAGAAACTCATTTCCCGCAGGCTCACTTCCGCCCTCTTGGCTCTGCTTCTAAGCCAGCCATTAGGCATCTATTGCTTTCCTATTTGCCATGCGTCTTAATTTGACACTTTGCTCCCCACGAGCATTCTAAAAGAAACACCAGTGGGTAGGGTACAATCTCGCTAGCATCTGTGAATGATTCTTCCTTGGGCCACTCATTTCTAACGTACTTTCTCCCAATTCTCCTGCGATCCTAGCCTAGAAACCATGGGTGCCTCCACCATCAAGCCAAGGAATTTCTAAGGCATGCTAATAACCCACTAGGTCCAAATGTGTCTTGTTTAAAACAGAACGTCCAGTGCCTGACATTTTAAAGGCGTTCCACCAGGTTTTAATGACTGTTGACAGAATGTTTCAGATGGACTTCCGACTGAACACGGAGAGATAGAAATAAAAGAAATGTTAAAGTCCATTTTGAATAGGAGTGTCATAATATATAAATTTCAACTAAGTATCCATTAGCCTTGATGTGGGTTAAGCACAGTTTTCCAGAAAATCATGAGAAAGGGCTTCCTTACATTACTCTGGTGTTTACTGATCTCCATGGCATGTTTGATCTCAGGTGGCTCCTTCATGTGGGCGTAATCTGAGGATCCTTTGGCAGCACCATGTTTCTGTTTGTAGGCGATCTTAAAAACACACACACACAATACACTGTTACTCTCATTTAGAAGCATGTTAAATTCTTACCTGTTAAATTTCAGTGTTTTGCTAGGATTTTATATATTTGAATACCACCACTGAAGCTCAAAGTTGCCTAAGCCTCTACAGCAAGATAATATATCTAACACTTTCATTTTAGTGCTTCGGTTTAGATTCCTAATTCTCACTTTTTTATTTAGTTCAAAAGTCCTTAACCATACACTAGATTCCCCACTCATTCATCTAGTTTAAATCTCAGCTACATTTTTGGGAAACCTTCTACACCCAAGAGCTTTTAGGGTTATACATGGTCAAGGTTTAAATCTCGGGAAAGCACCTGACAGTGTGGGGAAAGTGACCAGATATTTAAAAGTTAATTGTTCATTTTTAAATGAATTGTTATGATTCTGTGTAGGCACAGCTATAATATATTAATATTTAAATGCCCTAACCTTTGGGAGAAACTGTAACCCAGGCAAAATTCTCAGCTATGTCAAGCCCTGTCCTCTGTTGCAGAAATAAGGAAGGGCCACACCAATGCCATCCATGCCACCAAGTTAAATTTGCTCCCTACTTGGATGGAGAGAAGGCATGAGAACAGTTTCCTCAGGATCAGAAGCAACCAAACTCAACAACAAAAAAAAGAGACATTAAAGACGACCTCTAAGACAGCTAACAAATGATCACCTTATTCTCAGTCTATGTCACTATCCTTTTATTTCTCTCACAGTTTTTAATGAGTTTGCTTCATTTCTGTCAAACTATTTTCTGTCTGCCCTTACCAGAACATAACTGTCTAGTTCACTGACTGCTCAGAATGTTGAAAAGTGCCTGGCACAAAGTAAGCAGTAATAAGTATCTATCTGCTCAATGAGTGAATAAATGAGTGAATGAGTAACTGAATGAATGAGAAGAAAACAGGGATAAATGAATATGTGACTTCAAAATCAATTTTAAGTATATATCAAAAGTTTCATAATAAAAAGATATTAGATGGAGCTAGAATTACTTGGTCCAAGAGAATAAAGACAACTTAAAAAGAAAAATTAGAACAGTTTTTACCAAGAACAAGGTTTAATTTTCAATGAAAAAGAATACACTTAATGGATGGACCTAGAGAGTACTATGCTAAGTGAAATAAGTCAGACTGAGAAAGACAAATAACATATAATCTTCATGTGGAATCAAAGAACAAAATAAACAAAACAGAAATAATAATAAAATAAATAAGTAAATAATAAAAATACAGTTAAATTTAAGGAAAAACTTTTTACCACTATGAGCTCCTTGAGAGCTATTCCTGTGTCTTTCACATCTTTCAATATCCTATGCCTATCATAGTGAATGACAAAGAGTAGAAATGTAACAAATGTTTAGTGAATTAATAAATGAGTTTGTTCATGAATTTAAACTCCTCATAGGATTTAATATGCAGCACTGACCACCCATTTAACTCTAACTCCAAAGGATTCAAGTGATCATGACAAAAGCAACTTTTAAAAATAAAAGAATGGATGGGAGAAGTGGATGGAGATAGTCTCAGAGACACAGAGGAAGAACTGAGGGTTGTTAGTTGGGAGGGGGTGGGGATGAAGGAGAGGGGAAGGGATGAGACAATACAAATTGGTAATTGCAATATGGCCTCAGGGATAGAAAAAGATAGTCCGAGGAATACAATCAATAACGTTGTAAGCATTTCTTAGGGGGCCAGATGGACCAATGCCCTTTTGGGGAGTCCACTTCATAGTTGATGTAGAGGCCTGACCACCGCATTGTATTTCTGAAACTGATGTTGAATAATACTGTATGTCAACTATAATTATATATACATATAACCTCGGGACACGGAGTAGAGTGCGGGAACGGATTCAATGGAATTGTAATAGATAAGCATGATATCGGGGGTGGGAGGGCAGTGGATGGGGGGAGGGGGGTTGTTACTTTGTGAGGGTGAAAAGGGTAACTATTGCATTGTTCTGTACACCTGAAACTAACAATAAAAAAAAGTTCACAATCAAATACTGCAAAAAAAATAAAATAAAATAAAATAAATAATAAAAAATAAAATCATGAAATAGTACCACAAAAAAGAAAACCATCTAGGACACTATCAATGTTTAAATCCTTTCTCTGGCTCCTCCGCCAAGTTTCAGCTTGAAAAGCTCTGATACAAAGTTCCTCCTTTCAGGAAACCCCAATTGATCTCCCCATTGCTGCTGCATCTATGTATCCAAACAGGAAGAGCCTAGTTCACAGGACAGAACTTCAAACGTGGGAACACCGCTGTCAGTGATGTCCATTCTTCCGGACTCTGTGGACTGGAGCTCCATCCATCTATAGCCCTAAATGCTCTGCTCAGCACAAATTCCAATTTATCCATCTGTTTTTTATAGGTGCCTAGAATGTTCCAGATATAGTCTGACCTGTCCTCATTAGAATTATTCAATTTAATCCAGACTATCATCTCTCCTGTGGTATAGGTGATTAATGCATCAATAGATCACAACGTCTCCCTTCTGATGGCTCTGTTGAGATTTCTGTCCACTAACACCCCTAAATCTTGTTCAGTCCCGCCCAGCCCTGCTCCCACATCCAATCCTGCATATTTCCTTCATTCTCAGGGCTCACAGACGGCACCTCACGTTAGCACAGGCATAATTCATCTTATTAGAGTCTGTCCCGTGATTTAATCCATCAGGATATCTAATTCTGATGAACATATCTTTACATTTTCACCAATTAATTATGTTAAACAGGAAACCCATTAAGAACCTCCATTTGGGCTGAGAAAGTCCATTATCTCAATTCCATTACAGTCTATATTATAACTTTGGGGGGAGGGGGGAGGAGTTTAATGGGTGGCCCAGTCTATTAAGCCAAGAAAAAACTTCCATGAGATTTGTTCCTTCCACTTAAATGAAGAGCTAGCGTATGCCTGTCTCTTTTCTGCTGGATGCCTGGTTTATTTTGTATCTTAGGCTGACTATCACACTTGTGGCTTTATAAACGTAACCAATGCAGCTGATCTTTTTGTGGGTTATCAAAGAAATGGTGACTCATCAAACATGATTTTCAAAAAGTACTCTTTCTTAAAAGGGCTGTGTAATTTTCTACTTGCCGCATTAAAATAGTCATTTCATTTATAGCTGCTACTAAGCACCACTTTAGAATTAAGATTACATCAAATTGGAGGCAGCTGAACTTTAATTTATCATATTAATTTTCATCCTTAAAATAGCTAATGGAAAATTATGTTGAGCTAATAAATTTCCTGATAAATTTGATTTCTTAGAATTTGTCGTTATTGTATGATGTTTCCCTAGATTAATACTGTTTTCTTCACACCTTGAGAATTAAGGTTGCTATGTTATTACACACCTAACTACTGCAGAACACTTGCAATAGTCTTACATACTTCATATATAAATATGTTTATATAAGTAATATATACATTTATCTTATATATTTGATCACATAATACGAGGTCGAACAATTAAGTTCACGAACTTGTTGTGACAATGTTGCTCACCTTTTTTGATATCAGAAGGTTATTCATTATGAATTTGTACCAACTTGATAAACAGTTCACCAAGTTTACTATTTGGAAGTGCTGAAAAGGCTGCATGAAAAAATTAGACGAAAACGACCTGAATTTATCGCCAACAATTTATGGCTCTTGCAGCACAACAATGCACCAGCTCACATGGCACTGTCTGAAAGAGTTTTTAGCCAGTAAACAAATTACTGTATTGAACACCCTCGCTACTCACCTGATCTGGCCCCCAATGACTTCTTTCTTTCCTGAAGATAAAGGAAATACTGAAAGGAAGACATTTTGATGACATTCAGGACATCAAGGATAATACGATGACAGCTCTGGTGGCCATTCCAGAAAAGAGTTTCAAAATTGCTTTGAAGGGTGGACTAGGCACCGGCATCAGTACATAGCTTCCCAAGGGGAGTACTTCGAAGGTGACTGTAGTACTAATATTCAGCAATGAGGTATGTAACACTTTTTCTAGAATGAGTTCGCGAACTTAATTGTCATACCGTGTGAGTCTTTATATCTCATATATACATATGTAAGATGTACATCTATTTCTAACTTACAGTATGTTTTAAAACTATTATATAGGTAAATGTACTTCTGGTCAACAGCACAGATACCTCTGACGCTCTTGAAACAGGGCCCTGTGGCCACTATAGATAAAAACAAGTTCTCATAAATGTCCTCAGTCCAGATGCCTGAGTAGCCCGTATTACTCTGTAATAAGGGATTATTTAGCCTCTGCCTGAAACAGCCCCGGTGAGAAAGATTTCACTGCTTCATGGCACAATGCATCCATTTCCAGAAGCGTTCTTTGTGATTTGTGTTTATAAAAATTTTAATGGGGGATATCTAATAAAATAGCTTCCTAAAATTTCCACATCTCTCTCTTTTTAAAAAGGCATTTCTTCCTATCAGTCATTTTCTATAAGGAGCATTAATCTAGCTAACTTCACCTTATTACTCAGTCCAGTTTGAATGTAAGCATCTGAGAATGTTTGCAAATTGGCTGCAAGATAACATTGTGTTCAACTGTCACAAATTGAGGAGACTTTTCATTACAACCCAGAATGCCATGAAATTTCAGATTTGGCTAGAACTCTAATTTAGTGTTAGCACAAATCTGATACTCTTTGGAAACAGTAAAAGGTTAGCTTAATAATCACAGACACTGTCTAAGAGTTCTGTGTTCTTGACTGTCTTTTTACCAGGTAAGCGCTAAGGATTTCACTTTTAACAGTAATTAACTTGATGTACATAAAACTAAAGAAATGGTATTGCAATTGCATAAGTCTTGGAAATAGATACCTTACTCAGGGTCCAGGTTTTTCTTTAGCAAGAAGTTCAGCGACTAACAACAACACTGCACAGCACAGCTCTTTAGGAGCACAAACAAGGTTCCCAGGGTGCATATTCTATTAAGGATGACACGTGCTAAGAAATGTAAGGGACAACCTACTCTGGCAAAAACAAAACAGATTCCAAAATATACAAAATGGATTATTTTTCATGTTACGTTCTGTGTCGCACATATTTGGGTACTATAGACCTTTTCATGCTACAAAAGGTGAGAAAAGTTGTGTGCTTCCAAAGCAACGAAGTACGTAAATACCTGAAAATGTGCCCTTCCCAAGTAAGTATAAAAACAAGAACAGGTTTTTTTCTTTTCCGTCTTTGCTGCAGAAGTGTTGCTTGTCACATAGCAAGTGTTGTGTTATAATTATTTGCTTTATAAAGCAGTCCATATTATCAGCACGTGGCTAGGTGACTTGATGTGGGCAGCAAAGGGGGGGTCACATATCAGTCATGGGCAGCCAGGCAGATCTCTGACACCATATATTTTTAGCCTCATGTGGCAGGGCTGAGATTAGCTTCCTGCAAAGTTGGGTACACAGTGGACTTTTAAATTTGTAATAGTGAAGTAGTTAAAGATGTTCTGCAATGGATAACTATGCTCACTAGTTTTCAAGAGTGATCTATTTTCAGAGTATTTTACAATTATTTAGGTATCCTCTACTTAAAAGTAAAAAGATTCTGGAGAAAGACGTAAACTTGTTTAATAAGAAAAATAGGGGAAGAAATGGTAAGAAAGAGCTAGTATAGTGTGTGTAAGAATCCAGTTTCTGGAGCCAGACATTCATGTGCTGGCTCGGCCATTTATTGGCTGTGTGACCTAGGGCAAATTACTTAACCTCTCTGTGCTTCAGTATCCACATCTCCAAAATGAGGATATCTTATGGAGAGGTTGTGAGGATTAAATGATATAAACATATATATAATATACCGGGGGTGCCAAAAAAATGTATACACATGACTTGTATTCATCTTTTGTTATCAATATATATTGAGTATTACAATTTTAATACAGTTTTTTCCTTTCTTAAAATGTGTATACATTTATTTGGCACCCTCTGTATATAAAATGATATAAATATATATAAAAGCACCTGACACATAGTAAGCATTTCTATGTGTTTACTATTATTTTTAACCTAAAATGTAGCATGAAGAATATAAACTATGTAAAAGGAAACACTTCCTTAGAAAGGAAATCAACAAATTGAATAAAAATCCACTTTATAAAAGTATTTGGTAAATACTTCCTATGTGCCAAGCAGGGAAGCAGGGAACAAGACAGATGAGGTCCCTGCTCTCATGTCACTTAGGGAGCCAAGTAACAGATTCATGAAGTTAAAAAAAATCAAATTGTGCTATGAAGAAAACAAGATAATAAGATGAGTGAGAAAGAGGTGAAATATTCTACCTTGAAATTCTGTGTTAAGAAATAGAACAAATTAAAAGCATGAAGTATTCCTTATGTGTTGATGTACTATAAAGAGAAAATTACTCCTAAACTCTTGTGGATTCACAATGAATTTGCTTGCTGACAGTTCTTAGGTTTGTCTGCAACCTGCAATGACTAAAATGGCCACTTCCACCTGATGGAGGCTCTTTTTGGTAGCCTGAGGTATTCTAAGTGAAAAACACAATCCACAGAAAAGGAAATTCAGGAACCACTTTGTCTAATTGATGAACCACAGTCCTTTGCATCCTGAATTTAACCAGTAACTCTTTATGTGACTTTTAATAAGCTACTGGAATGTGTTCCACTTAGAGATCACACATTAAATCAGAGACCAGTTTAATATTTACTGTAAGATTTCAATCTAAGTAAACTGTCTAAATAAAATTCAATTTTGTTTCATTAATAGTTGTGAATGTGATTAGGAAAAACTGCATATTAGGTTATACATTTTATCCACATCATTATATAACAATTTAGGAAAACTGCACCCCACTCTGAAGCTGCGTAACTTCTCTTGCAAAGACGCTGTCAATTGTGGCTGGCATCTGCTTGTAAAGAGAATTGGAAAGGTCCGCCTTAATGGTGCCTTTGTATTTTGCCTGGGGGAGAAGGAAAGGAAAAAATAAACATTCCACTCTTTTACAGTGAATACTGAAAGAAAATGAAAAGAAACTTTCTTCAGAAACAGAATTAACTTAAAAATCTGAAGACCATTGGAATCCTAGATACTGGACACGATGAACATATTTTGAAGAAATATAAATGCAATTTATCATGAAGAAAGCTTTAAACAAAACAAGCAAGAAAAAAAAACGCCAATTTTTTCTATGTAAACCCATGCACATTTCTAAAAGTAAATCTATTTGTGTATACTGACAGTTTCCTATGTTCGATCAGCGAAGAAAAATCTGAGAGCAATGAGACATTTGAGTTGCTCCAGGAAATACAAATTGTTAGAAAATGCTATCCAGAACCTGAATGCAAAGGACACAGTTCCATGTTTCAAGTCTCCTTAATAATCTCCTTGTACCACGATGGGGAAGTAGAGTGCTTTTTGGCTTTTTATGTGGCTTCCTACCTCCAATCTACACTGTCCCTAGGCGATCTCATTCACCATTTCCTCTTGGGAAGATTAGGTGCAAAATAACACGACAGATTGCCCACTTCCATTTTTTTTGCCCTGCAGTTAACTCCTTCAGAAAAACGAATCAATTAATAACTAAGAACATCAAGCATTTCTCTGCAAGGCGAGGTAGCAGCTAACACAAATAAACAAAACCGTGTTTTTCCACACTCTGTCGACAAGTCCCTGCTAGGATTCCCACTCAGAGCAAGATTGGAGCCTTGATTTATTGAGCATGGATCCTGTGTAAACCTTGTGTCCCCACAACTCTTTGGATTTGAGTACTTAATAAAAGAAAATTTACCAGTTTTCCTCACAATGCTTTCACGTTAGCAGAAATAATCCTGAGACTATCATGTGGATCTTTTTCCAACATATGAAACACTAGAGGTCAGCCATTTATAACACTGTTTTATTCATTCTCTTGTCAAGTTTATCTCCTCTAAGTGATCTATTCACAGGCTACAGAAATGCCTCATCACAGAAATCACTGTCAACACTGCTTTTCAATGCAACACATACTGAGGTCCTAAATGCTCTCAGAAAGAGACCATATGATTTTTCAGCGGGAAAATGAATACAGTGCATTTCTCACTCTGTGGTTTCATAATGGTTATCTCCATTGAACTGGTCCTACTCAAAAATAGTTTCAATTGATTTAGAATTACTTACAAAAAAATACACATTTCATGGGAGCAGCTGGTAAATTTTACTTATTTTCAAAATGATATTCAATCATTTATAATTAATAAATCTGTTAGGAAAAAAATAGTGGAACTGCTAAGACTATTTTGCCAGTACTTTCTACTTATTGAATAAAAGTGTACTTTTCAAGAGTAATTCTATGTAAATGAGAAAGGGTCAGAGGCAAAATATAGACATATATAATAAAATGTATCAACCATACGAGTAGACAGTAAAATATGTCAATTTACATGCGTTAATTAGTAGTGCATGGAATTACATAATTATATAGATATTACCAACATTCAGCGGTGTTTTTGAAAATGTTATTCGCCAACTTTAATGCACAGACTTTCATCTGCATAAATACAAAAGGAAAATGCAAGCCATTTTGCAAGTGTTTGATACCTTACCTCAGAAATAAAAGCACCAATATTTTTTACATGGTTTAGCATAGGAGTGTCCGTCACAAATGTACACTTGTCCTTAGACTTTTTATATTCTTCTTTATAATGGATCTAAAAGAGAAAATAATTCACATGAGAGAGTAAGAAGAAAAACAACTGAATGCTCCATTTTTGAATAGATGAATTACCTGGAGAAAGTTCGCTTTTTGAAGTAAATACTCCAATGTGGAATGATACTCAAAACAAGCCAAATCACATAAACTGATTGATACCTAGCACAAAATTGCAAAACTGATATGGCATAATCATAAACCCTCTGCTTTAGATAAGCAAGGGTCCAGTATCATCAAGGATCATGTGTGTCGGACCCACAGTGATTATGGGTCGTGTTGCCCAGTGTACTCAGCGTAATTATTAAATAGTCTTCATTTAACTTGCACAAGTGTACTAGTTTATTGTTACTTTGAAGCCATGGTCAAACAGAAACATAGCTGCCCACCTCTAGGCTTAAAACACATACTTATCAGGATAGATGTAACCACGGAAGAAGTAGAGGCATAAATTAAACAAATGGAGATTACTGTTAGCATCATTACCTAGATTTGCTGGATTAGAGGAAGGGGCTTAAATTGTGGCCACAATGGGCTTCCTGTTACTAATTAAGTACGCTCAAATCAAACTGACCCAATTTAGGAGCACCCATAGGCCTCCCATCCTCCTTCCCTCCCCCAACAAGAGTCGAACCTGCTCAGGAAGCTTGCCACATGGTTGAGATCATTCCAGAATGTCCCCTTGCTGTCAATGGGCAAATGAGCAAGGAAAAGACCAGAGAGGCTTAGCTGAGCACGCTCATTTCTCCTCTGGAACTCTCTAGTAAAGCGAGCCACTCCTTTCTCCTTGAGGAGAGGCCAGAACTGTCGCTCTGGGGAAAGACCTCGCATGGACACATGAGCCAAAAAGAAGTCAGGAACTATGGAGAATGGCCTGAAACGTAATCCCACTGTCATGCTGCTTGCAACCCAATCTTAAAACTGGGGAGGCAAAATTTATGACTAGTTGAGAGAATGAAGGTAATTTGCGAAAACTTATATCGCCCTGTAATAAAGTCATGTTTACCTACCCAAGACTCTAAATACCTAGGCCGAAAAACAAAGTCCCAGTTCAGATGATAAATTACATGGTCTCCTTAATTATAACCTAAAAACGAAGCTTAATTCTATATACTACCCGGTTCTTAAAGGACGTGACTAATATTGATGTCACACAAACATTACACAGGGGTTTTATGCAAACCTGATTTGAGGGGCATGATTTTACCATAACCAGATACGAACATGTTAAGTGACGTTATTTCAAAATACCGTATTTCACTGCTGTGACTCTTAGATATTACATGCCTACCGCATTACACATTTGCTTTAGTCATGAAATCAACATTAGAACATATTTATCTTATCTGAGCACTAAATTACTTTTTTTTTCTTCTAGAGATTAGCCATAATTTTAGGTCTCTGCAAATCACCCTCCTCAGTCACTAGTAATTAAGCCGTTAATGGCAGTATGATAAATAGTAGGCTATTTTGATCATAAGGAGGGAAAGAGAAGTATCTCCGTTATATAATTAAGTGCAAGAGAAAATAACCTATCATCAGGCTTAAGCCTGCCTCATTATTTTTATCTTTCGCCACCATCTTTTCCTTCTCACATTCACATTCTTCACTGCGGTGGTATGTGCTACGGCTACAGGCCTCCTGATAAGCTCTGACCCGAGCAGCATGTCCGACGGGAACATGGGATACGGTTGAAGTTGTTACTTCCTTTGCTATGCAGACAAATAGTTCAGTCTTAAGTGTGGTCTCCATTCCTTTGGCCAGCCTTTAAAAGAGAGACACACACACACGTGCGTGCAAACACATATCTTTCTACTTTCTAGTGAATTGTACTATATGAGTGACAATAAGCAAGTGATGCTAAATTTTTATGTAGCGATGTCACACATTTAGTAGCCTTCCTATACCAAGAAAAGACAGATGAAAGGAAACTTCACCAGTGACTGGCACAAAATTTTATGTAAAATGAAAGTCACTGAGTAGACAGCCATTTCCTAATACAACCATGGCCCTATCGATTGGACAGATTGCCTGTCCAAGCCCCTTTTTTCCTAATAACAGAACCCAAATGTATTTATGAGAGTGGCCAGGCCCCTACCCCAGCCGCAGAGGGCAACTTGCTCTAAACCAGGCATGGTTTTCTCATTCCCCTTGGCCAGTGATTAGCC